AGGCATGAGCCACCATGCCCTGCACATCATTATAGTCTTAATAATTATAACCTGGGTATTTACTTAATATGCCTTCCACATTCAAGAATTTTATATATCTGAATCCATTTACTCACTGCAATAGACCACCCTATGAGGTGTTGCTATTTTCCGACTTTCACAGAAGAAACCAAAGCAAAGTTTAGGGGAAAAAAAAAAATCACCCAAAGTGAGTATGAAGTGGCAGGTGGGACTGGAGAGATGGCTCAGCGGTTAGGAGCAATGGCTGCTCTTGCAGAGGATCTGGGTTCAATTCCCAGCACCCATGTGACTATTCACAACTGTCTGTAACTCCAGTTCCAGGGAATCCAACAACTTCACAAACATACATGCAGGCAAAACACCACACATGAAACAAAAATAAATGTAAACACATAAAATAAGTGGCTGATAACTAACTGTCACTAGAATATGTATGTCCAGTGTGGTGGCCCACACCTTTAATCCCAGGCAGAGGCAAGTGGCTCTCTCTGAGTTTGAGGCCAGACAGACTTATAAAACGAGACCCTGTCTTTAGATTACACACACACTTTATTCAAGTTTGGTTTTTTGGCCTCCAATTCACTACATAGGCAGAGATTATTTGTACTGTGAACTTTCTACCTCCACCTCCCAAGTGCTGAGATTACAGGTCTGTGCCACTAAGCCTGGTCTGTGTGATGTAGGGGACTGAAATTGGAGCCTCCAGTCTTACTAGAATAAAGAATTCTATCAACTGAGGTACACTCCCAGCTTCTCATTCAGTTTAGGTCTCTATCAGTCAAAATCTAGTCTTTACTGTTTCAAACAGAAGAAACTAGTGGATCAACTGTTCCAGGTCTTCCCAATAGGCTCCTCTTGAAGCCCAACCTTACAGAGCATGACCAGTCAACTTGAACAAACTTTCCCCTATGGCTCTGGGCAGAGTCAAGATGCTCCCAGGCTATAGCAGCACAGGAGATGATCTGTGGGAGCTAAGGATCTATGCTAAGTTCAATAGAGTCACTGAGCTGGGCCTAATGGCTCAGGCCTATAATCCCAACATCAAGGCAGAGGCAGGATCTTTGTAAGTTAGACGTTAGCATTGTCTATATAGTGAGTCCTATGTAGGAACGACAAAATTATCCCATCTCAAACAAACAGTTATTGGGATAAGGTGACAATTCCTGGCCTACCTTACAGAGTGTGTGTGTGTGTGTGTGCGCGTGCGCATTCATGATGTATGCATGAATTATGCCGGAGTGGGAAGGTCATAAGACAACCCTTAGGAGTTGATTTTCTTACTCTACCTTGGGATCCAAGGATCAAACTCAGATCCTCGGACTTTCAAGACACGTGCTTTTACCTAGTGAGCCATCCTGCTGGCTCTTATTTTTATTTATTTAAAATTATGAGCTGGGTAGAGGCAAGAGGATTTCTCAAAGTCAGCCTGGTTTACATAGACAGTTGCAGGCCAGTTAGGGCTGCACAGTGAGCCTCTGTCTCACAACAAGAGAATGGAGTTTCCTGTGTGCACTTCAGGGATCCCAAACAAATAAACAAAGAATAACAAAACTATATAATGAAGGGTTGGGTCAGTTCTCAGTTCACACTGTCTAGCTCAAATTCTGGTTTAGTTATAGACTGAATGTATGACCTTACAAGTTACTGAATTTCTAGTTCCTCATCCGAAAACTGAATATTTTAGTAAATGGAAATTGCAGTACTTCACTCACTATAACGTTACTGACAGCCACTTATATAAGACACACAAAGCACTCAGCAAAGCATATGGCATACCATAACTAGTCAGTAAGTGTTAGCTATTAATATTATATATGCCTCTCTAAAACTCAGGTAATTCCTGTGTGGCTTTTAAAAAAAGAGCTTAATGGGGAGAACAAAGATTAAGCAACCATCATAAAGTAAAGACAGCAAGTGAACTGACTGCCCGTAGAGAAAATGGGGTACTTGATGAAACAAAATGCCACAATGCCAATGAACTTTCCACACCTCACCCACAAACTGGCAAGCTCCTCGCCTAGGCCAACCATGTATTTTGAAAAGGTGGAGCTGCTAAGATATAAAACCACAATGACCAGGTATAGAGAAAAATCAAACTAACAAACCTGCCTGATGCTATTCCCAAATTTTGTAACAAAACACACACAGAGAAAGCTGAGGACTGAAATTTTTACCCCACTATTGGGAATAAAACCCAGGCTGCCCAAATGCTAGGAAAATAAACTACCACTGAACTACATCCCTAATCCCACCCACTAAGCTTACTTTTTATTTTGAGGCAGAGCATTACTAAGTTCTCCAGGATAGCCTGGAACTTGTAAAATCATCTTGCTTCAGCATCCTAGGTGCTAGGATTAGAAGCATGAACTACGAAATGGGGCTGAGAACTGAATTTCAATGAAAACATACCATCCTAGTATGGCACTTAACACAAAACAATAGATTATCTTGCAGATAGCACAAAAAATAGAATTTATCTTATTTAGGGCAAACATGCTATATTAATATTCCTATCTTATATTATTAAACCTACAAGACTTAGAAAGACCTAAATGTGTAAACTAAAAAGATCTCAATACTCACTTTTTCCCTTAACTTGTGTGCTAACAAAAAGAACTGTCTATCCCACCTCCTCATTTCTGGCCAAACTGAGTTAACTTAAGTCAGGACTATCCTAAAAGGGCAGGTCTGCTAAGGTTAGCCAAGGAGTCTTCATTCATGAGACTGGCTCAGATCTAGGAGGAAAAGGCTTGCACTTCAAACATCCAGAAAGCAAGAAGCTTGGTGCTATTACATACATACACAGACAAAGGTCACTTTGCAACTCAGAAACCTCAAGTACTAAGTGCATGGATTTCCTTAACATTGCCAAGACAACTCCAATAACATGGGCAAGACAGTTAGAATTCAATGATCCTTGACAAGGAAGACCCAGTGGTATAACCAAAATTCTTCGTGTTATCTTCCAGCCACGTCTGTTCTTGTATCCTGGAAGACTTTGACCACAGTACCAACTCACTGAGCAAGAAAAGATCCAGAAGTACATGACTGACACTGACTGTTTAAACCCAAGGAGAATGACGCTCCACTCACTTCCACGGTTGTTCCCATTGGCTTATACCTGGTTTATTTTCTGAAGGAAAAAAAAAAAATCTTTCTTCCACTAATCACTTTGAAACTAGAAACTCTAGCTGCAGCAGGCAATCCTTTGGACACTTAAAACCTCTTGAACACAGTTTGCCAGCTGGGTTTCAATTACGCTGGGCTGGTCACAGAGGCTTTTTTCTATTACCAACTCACTTAGTTCACCACCTTCGTATTCCACAAGGGAAGAGCACGGTAAAAAGATTTTGGAAAAATGCCCAAGAAAGGAAAAAACCAACCGGCTTCCTGAGGGTGTCTCCATCCCTCCCAGCCAGCCAGTACGTGGTGACTTCCTACCGAAGGCCACCAGCGCTAACACTGCAGGAAACGTCTCAAGCCTAAAAGCCACTTGTAGAATTAGCAGATCCATTCTGGGCACCTCTGCCAAATTATGTCCCCGCAACATCCCCCATTAACTCTTTGTCCCCAAGTTGCCCAAGTTGCTCGGCCCTGCCCTGCCCTTGGGCCTGACCCTGGCGCTCAGCCCCACCCCGGGGCCGCCGCAGTTCCCCTTCCCCGGCTCCCAAGGCACACCCAGAGGCCTCGGTGAAGCAGCTCCTCCTCCCCCACAATCCCGCTTGTCGGTGGGAACCAGCTGGAGCTGAAGGCAGCTCCCCCGCCAGGGCCACGGCTGCCCTCTCTGCCCACGTCTCTCCTGCCGAAGCAGAACCGAGTTCCACGGCCCTCATCCCCGCCCGGAGCCTCCCGCCCGTCTGTCCCTCACCCGGCGGAGGCTGAGCGGGCGACGGAGGCACTGGAGGGCGCGGGCCGCTGCTGTTGATGATGTAGTGGGAGACACGCGAGTTTTCGGAGACGCTGAGCACATAGTCCCCGGGGCTGGTGCTCGAGTCCCGCACCAGGAACACCCCGTGCCGCTGGCCCTGCAATAGCGCCACCGCCTCCTGCCGGCTCAAGCGGCCCCAGTACCAGCTACTCCGTTCCTCCGAGTCGAAGTTGCCCGCCATGGCCGCCTCCGCGCCTCCACGCTGGGCCGCCGCCGCCACGCGCGCCCCTCCAGCCCTGGCGCCCGCCGCCCAGCGGACCGGCTCCGGTGTCAGGCTCCCAGCCGGAAATACTCTTATTTTAACAAAATGTCATAGGACATGTTCTGTTGTAGAGTCAACTTTTGTTTTATTGAACATCCCTTCCAATTGTAAGAGATTCCCCTTCACTTCCTTCTAACACATCAATGTATACCTTTCAAATTTATATGTTACATTCAGAATGAGTTTGTAATATATGTTGGTAATGACTTAAGTTCGACTTTCAAGTGGACAATGTATTGCTTTGGGGGGTGTTAAATGGTTTATTAGTTACTTTTTTCTTTTTTTAACATAATTTCTTTATTCATTCTTTGGGAATGTCACATCATGCATCCTAGTTCTGCTCACCTCCTAGTACCCTCATATCCTCCCCTCATCCCTGCAGTGCTCTCCAGAAAGAAAAATTTAAAGACGCAAACCAAGACAAAGCAAGCAAGCAATCAAACAAAAACAAAAACAAAACAAACAAAAAGCAAAAGTCAAAAACAGAAAAACTTATTTGTAGTGGGTAGCCATTCCAGCTTTGATCTGGAAGTTCCAATCCCCATTGAGACTCTGGTAACTGTCACGTCTACGAGGCGGGGCCAGGGGAGGCGCCTGGAGACCCGAGATCTGGATGGGCCAGCGCTCTCTCTGTTCTGGGATCCTGAACGGTGGAGGTGGACCGAACAGAGCTCCAGAGAACACCGCTGGACTGCAATACACCTTCCCCAGACCCCGCGACCTACCTATCCCTTAATTTGTAAGTTACGCCATTAAATAAATATCCTTTTAAC